TGGCAGAACGGAATGCTTTTTAAAGGATGTGCGCAGAAGATCGAGTGGCGGTGAACTGAAGCAGATGGAGAGAGGACTGCTGCGGCGCCGTGACCGGGCATCGCCACATGTCGTCTCTGCTGCGACGTAGGAACGTCTGAGGTGAATTACATCAATAATTCAGTGCGGACTCTGAGTATCGCTTATTTTAAGTTTAAGCGAAATCTTATCTACAAGTGGGCAACTGAACATTTGCACATTGTGTTGTACTCCAGCAGACACACTGCTGCGTTATCAGGGTCCAGTGTGTTCAGTTTGCTGGGTCAACAGGAAGTGACTGACTGCTGCCTGGTCAATAATGATGTATTGATTTCTCGGCTGTATGACTTCCAGCAGGCCCAATATGGACTTCTGCCTGCCCTGAAGGTTTCCATTTAAAGGGCCATGTTGGTGTTTTCAATAGATTCGCTCTTTCATTCAAGTTTCCAGTCTTTTTTTTCTGTTTGTTTGTTTGTTTGTTTGTTTTTTTTAAAAAGAGAGAGAGAGAAACAAAAAGAGAGAGAATACAGGCCAGGGCATAGGGGAAAAGCACAATTATACATTTGAAACACTGTGCTTTGAAAAAAGAAATGGTATGAAATACATTACAACATACAGTTCCATTCAGGCAGGCTCAAACATTTTAGTTTGAAAGTAAAATAATAAGTTGTTGTTCTTTGCAAAATTAGGGTTTCTAGGGTTCTGTTATAACATGTCATCATTCCTACCATCATAACAAGAGGCATGGGTAACTTTGGGTTGCTCTTCTCTTAATGGGCTTGTGCCATGATTGTATATCAAAGAAGTGGATACCAGATACCATGGGGTACCTGGATCTTCCACACACTTCTGCAAGGAGGACTCACAATGCTTACACAACATAGACTGCATCAAATTTTTTTACAGAACATGTATACAGTGTATGACGCATGTTGTACTGTCTCGCTGAAGGCAAGACAGTGATGAATTTATACCATTGCAGTCTTGAGTTATCAGTTAGTCCTATAACTCCTAATTTTCTATGATGAACTAATTGACCGGAACAATTAACACATAAGTGTTTGTCACAAAAAATGTATCTCATATTTTGGTTCATAGATTTAATATAGGTTCTCTGGAAATATTTAAAAATCTGCTCTGGCCAAAACAATACATACAGTAATGTTAATATTTGGTTAAATATCCCTTGATTATTGTCACTTCAACGAGGTGATTTTGGTAGCTGTCTTTTGGTTGTATCCGTGACAATTTGTCTTGACAGAATTGGTGCAGGTCAAGTAAATTGCTGGCTGTCTGACAGATTTGTTTCCTCTTCTCAGTTCACATGTTATTGATGGGTTGAAACCTTAATTCCTGCCTGATTTAGCCGCTCCTTTATCACTTTGATATGTGATTGGTGGTCATTGTCTTGTTGGAATATGCAACTACATCCAAGATCCAGTCTTCTGGCTGATGATTTTAGGTTTTCCTAATGAATGTGGAGGTAATCATCCTCCTTAATTATTCCCTTATATTTGTGTAAAGCCCCAGTTCCCCTGGCACCAAAGCAACCCCAGAGCATGATAGTGCCACCACCGAGTTGACAATAGGTTTGGTGTTCTTGGGGTTAAAAGCCTCAACTTCTCTCCTCCCAACATGTTTCTGGTCTTTGTGGCCAAACAGCTCTATTTTTGTTTCATCTGACCAAAGAACTTTTCTACAGAACGCCTTTTCTTTGTCCATGTCATCAGCAGCAAACTTTAGTTAAGCCTTAAGGTGCAGCTTCTAGAGAAAAGGCTTCCTTATTGTATGACACCATCTCAGACCATGATAATGTAAAACACACTTGACTGTGAACACTGACACCTGTGTTCCAGCACTTTCTTATTCATTGCAGACCTTCTTTTTGGTGATTCTTGGTTGACTCTTGACTATCCTGATCAATTGTCTCTCAACAGCAGGTGATAGTTTGTGTTGTCTTCCTGATTCTGACAGTGACACAACTGTACCATGAACTTCATACTTACAGTTGTGTGCACAGATGATTCTGAGATCGGTAGCTGCTTTGAAATGACTCCAAGTGACTTTCTTGACTTGTTCAAGTCAGTGATTTGCTCTTTAAGGTCTTTGCTGAGTTCCTTAAACTTTCCCATTGTAGTTTTTGAGTCTGAGTCTGATGAGTGTATCAAATGGGCCCTATTTAAATTGGCTCAGATAAGTCATTCATGAGAAGTTAAGAGACCATGCCACTGTGGAATTTTGATTTCATAGTGGCATATTGGATTTCATTGGTCTTTTAAAAGGTTTTTATTAAGAACAAAAACAAAACTTTAGAGAAAATTTAGCAAAAATAGACTAATAGAATTTCTGTAGTAGAAATGTGTTCTTTTTCTTTCCCTGAATGATTATTGTCTTTGCGATTACCTTGGGATCCTGTCTTCCAGACTGGGCACTCCTGTCTTACACAACATACAGAAATATAAAAATGCAGTCACATCTAAGACTCCAAAGGGCCCTGAACAGTAAATCACACTGAGTGAAGAGTTGTTTTGGATAATTGCAACATGTTTGGCTCGGCAAAGGCAAACTTCTTAGGCCAGTCCCTAATTTCTGTCTCCTTTAAACACTGTAGACTGTGAGCCTATGGTCCCACAGCTCCACAACACTGTTGAGTGAACCAGCTGCATGTGTGGAATGTGAGGCAGGTATGTGAGTGTCTCTGCTCTGGTTGAGAGAGCAAAAGGGAGGGGAAAGAGAGATTCCTTGAATTTTAGCAAAAGCCAACAGAAAAGGTATCTGTAAAGGGCAAGTTTCACAAAGCCCTGTATTTGGAGTGTCTGTTGTGAAAGCCTGCTCATGCTGCATATGTTTGTATTCAGAAACACTGAGGTCTATTTATAGAGCCACACCACAGTTTTTGCCCATGGCCAGTTATTACCAGACATTGCCTCTATACTTTCATAGAATGCTGGAGTCTCTTTCTCAGTGGGTTTCTTTTCACTTATCCTTTTTGTCTCAAACAAGTCCTTGGAGCTCATTAATGTTGAAATTTAGTCAGATATGATCACGTGCAAAATTTTTTTCCCCGCTTTATTGTCTTCTTCAAATGAAAATAAAAAAAAGACTATTGGTGGTTGCTGTCAGCTGTTTAAGAGCTGCACTCCATGATGAAACTGTCCAACCATCCCCATGCCACTCTCCTGGGTATGGGTGCATTTTCATTGATTCTTGGTTCATGGTCGTGGTCAGCATGTGTATGGAGGTTCAGTTCACTTGCCATTGTGACACTTCTCCAGTCTTTGTGCACATGTTTAAGTCATGTAAACTTTACGAGACTACTGACCATTCACAGTGCCTAACAAATTTATTAGACCACCTGTTTAATTAGTTAAACACTGTTTTCCAATTGAAATCAGAAGTTTGCATGAACTGTATAAAAAGACATATAACCTTTTTTTTTCTCACTATCTGACATTAAATCAGACCAAACTTTTCCTGTTTTAGGTCATTTAGGATTACCATAATTATTCCTATTTGGTAAACGCCAGAAAAATGAGAGAGAAATGTTGCAGTCTGATATGGCTGTCTGCCATATATATGCATATATATATAGTCATGTCCCCTGACCTTCCAAAATTCAGCCCATGAAATATAATGGGATTTTATGATGTGGTTTATTGTTTTTTTTTGTTTTGTTTTTTGTTGATGTCTTTATATTAAAGGTAATTTAGACATTTATTCTTGGGATTAAGCCATATATATATTGGTTTTGTAAACTAATTTTTTTGACGGCTGTGGTGTAGCGAAGTAAATAATAAATCCACATAAATTGATATTGTGACTTGATATGGTAAACAGTAAATACAAGTCACAAGTACATTCTGGCACACTGTTTGTGTTTAATTATACTTTAGATGTTTCAGAATAAAAACCTTTCAGAATTAAAAGAAATGACAACAAAAAGCAGCAGTAAATAAAAATGGCAAATGATAGAGGGTCAGAAATCAGACCTTTTTCTACAGTATGATCAAATACTGGTCTGTTTAAATTGGTAAGGTCTATACCTTACAATGTTAAGCGCTATGTGATGACATATATTGTAAACTGCTCTATACAAATAAAATTGAATTGAAAATTGAATTGAAAATAAAGGTTAGCATATCAGGGAAACTAATACACTATTTGATCATTTATGGAATGGACACTGACTACTGTCATTAAGGTCTTTTCATAAAAAACGATCAAAAGTCTTTTTTTATTTTCACATGCAGACCCACATTTCAGCAGACCACAACCTCCTGTTTGGAAAAGCACTGAAGATGAATTTGCACAAACATGTATCAGACCTCTGCTGACTCTGAGCCTGCTGTTGCCTGTCTTTGATCTCGGCCTTGCTCCACCAGCCTCAGTGTGCTGCTTTGGAACTAGTCAGTACAACTGAGCTGTGATTCATTTGAGCTGATTTTCCAAGAAACTGCTAATAGCCTCACTTATTTCTTTTTTATATAAAATTTGTCATCTGCGTGTATCTGTGAATGACCTGCAGGCAAAAGGTAAAGCAACTGAGTGTGTGGTTTGCGTTGGAGCGTCTGGAATCATACCTCGTTTTACCTGCTCCAACATGTCATACACACCTGCAGGGGGAAGAGGTGATGCATACACACACACACACACACACACACACACACACACACACGCACACGCACACGATACTCGAGTACCCTCCTTGTGCTCCACCCTGCCTTAAAAAAGTACCAGAGGCAAATAGTCAACTGACAGTTTAGTGACTGTTTTACAAGCAGTGGCAGGGAGACATTAGTGTGGTTTGTATGCATGCTGACGCACACACACACACACACACACACACACGGGTACACACCTAGTGAAGCGCCTGTTTGGGAACAAGTTGAAACAGATCAGTCTTTCATGCTGAACCAGGCAGCCTCTGTGTACCTTTGCTCCCCAGTGGTGTTTACCTCTTCTCCTTCCTGCTCTCTGCCACGTCAAATGACTGTCTGGGTGCTTGGTTTGTTCCTCTGGGAGCCTCGTGGCCAAACAGCTTGACTGTGGTCACTCGGCTCTGGGGCTGAAGAGTCAGATACAGCCGGCTGGAAGGCTCCTACCTATTCACATCTCTGCTTTTTGCCACTGGTATTTTTCCTTTGTCTGTTTACTGGAACTCTACTGACAGTTGGGAGATAAACAGATGTGGTCTGTGGAAACTGTCAGACTAAGGACTCGTCCTTACGTGATGGCTTAGGAAGTACACAAAGAGGGTCTGTCAGAGCTGCGGGAATCTGAAGAGCATTTGCGTTTTTTGTTTTTTGAAAATTGTTCAGCTGAGAAATGAGTGGATTTCTTTATAGGGGAAGGTAAGGCTTTTGAGCTTTTCATTTGGTGAGAGTACGAGGTTTGTAACTTGTGGCTGTGTTATACAGTGTTTGTGTATGCATGTGTGCATTCATGAATTCAATGTGAATAGTAAAGTCTCTCCTCTGCACTGAATACAGATAGAATAAAAAGTTGTTTTTACTTTTCAGTAGAAAAGAGAACCTTTGCGCCAGTGTTACATAATGAGGTCTCGACTCCCACAAATGGTTCCTGGATCTTAGGCAGCTATTGGTTGAGCTAGTTTCAATCATTTCCAAGCAAACACCTCAACTATCTGTGTTCATTCGTGCTATTTTTGGTCCGTTCATGTCTGTACAACACAACAGTGGATCCAATAGTTCCCACACCTCCTTTTTATCCCCTTAAAGGAGCTTTCAGGGTCATCTTATTTCATACTACCAGTGTCATATATATTGTGTGTCATCCAATTGTAGCCCTCATTTGAAACAATGTGATGCTGAAACCGAGTTAATTATTCCTATTTGTGGCTGTAAATAAAAAATATACGATCCATCCATCCATTATCTATACACTGCTTAATCATCAATTAACCTCAACATGTTTTTGGACTGTGTGGGAGGAAGCCGGAGAACCTGGAGAGAACCCACACTGCACGAGGAGAACACGCACGAACGTGCCCGAAAAGTTAAAATGATGAACATTACTGTCTGCCTTCAGCAACCTTCATGATGTCATGTCACTCTTAGTTTTGCTTTGTCAGAAAACACTATCAGGTGACACAGGCTGTAACAGCAACTCACTGTGTGTGTTGTTATGGAGTAACATTAGTGTCAAACTATTTGTGACCATTATATATTTAAAATGCAACTCTATCAAAGATGACATGTTTGGACATCTGAGAAAGATGTCTCTGGTTTTTATTTTGGTTCATATGAGTGATGACTTCATGGCAAAGAAAATAATGGAGTAGAGAAAGTGTGATTTAACGTTAAAGGGCATCAGAGGGCTGCATAAATAATGTTTTGCCAATAACTTAACTCATTATGTTGCTTATGTACAGCATACACCTGTGGCCTAAATCTAAAGATAAAGTCATCAGTACAACCAGTAGCTATATTCATGCATGCTCCATAGAAAGAAAAATGCACAATGCAAATTTAAAATAAAATACCCCATATTACAGACATATTGTACAGAAGAGGATTAGGGCCACTGAAGAAAAAAAGAATAAAATTCTGAGAAAAAAGTCAGAATTAAAGTCAGTCATTCTGACTTTAATCTCAGATTTCTGACTTTTTTTCAGAGATTGAAAAAAAAAAATCTCCTGGAATATATATATATATATATTTAAATGTTCTGGAAAAAAGTCAGAATTCTGACTTTAATCTCAGAATTCTGACTTTTTTCTCAGAATTTTATTATTTTTTTCTTCAGTGGCCTTAATCCTCTTCTGTAATATTGTCTATGTATTTGTTGGGAAAACATTTATTTATTTATGTATTTTTTAACTTATGTATATTATGTTTAATGCTTTGCTGCATGTTTATGTACTTGAAAATTCCTCTCTGTTGTAAAGTTAAACAAATACTAAAGGACAAGGTGTTGTCAAACAGTAAAATGTTCTGCCTGTAATTCATATCTTTGTTTTTGTAAGCGTTAAGAAAAGAAGCTATTTTATTCATTATATATTTTTAAAATTAATTGGCCAATTAATCGGTTATCTGAATTTTTTTCTGCCAAATATCGGAATCGGCATCGGCCTCAAAAAAATCCATATCGGTCGGACCCTAATTGTAAGTCACAAAATTTTTCTAATATGACAATACTTTTAGGATACTTTAATGCTATCAAGATATTTAATACAAGCAAAAAAAAAAAAAAAAATTCACTGATACCTTGTACACAGCATCAGTGCAGTTTTACAGAGAGTATAAATCTACCATTATATGGAGTGAGCATGTCAGCCTCCTTCTGTAGCAGGGCCAGGTTAGTGGTGTGTTGCAAGTGCTAGTTGCATCAGTTTGCTGAACCATTAGTTAACACAGAGCTGTTTTGTGGTTTAAGGTTTGATGACAAACAACAACACATGTGAGAACAAATGTTGTTCTCACGCAAAACAACATGAGCCTGTTGGTTGGTGCTCTGGTGGTCTGCTGCCACACAGCTGCTGAACAGAGCTTTACTGTTGTCTACTGTTGTCTAGTGAGTGTTGTCATGGAGGACACATTTACCCCCCTATCTGAATCTCTGTGCTCCCCTAACTGTCATCAAGTCTCACTTTTTAGGTCAGTAGGTCAGGAGGTCATTGTAGTCCTGACTGACACACCCCCTAAATGGCAGAGATGTCATAAAAAGTGACCACACTGTTTTGTCTTAAAGCTTTCGATTGCTTTTCATTCCATTCTCACCCTGTTGTGAGGCGCTCTTGTCTGCCTTATTTTCACTTTCATTAATAAGTGAGGTCTAACAGCCTGACATGATCCACTCTAACTCGATCTCTAACTAATTATTCAATTCAATTCAATTTTATTTGTATAGCACATATTTACAACAACAAGTCATCTCATAGTGCTTAACAAAGGCAAGCTTAAGAGGATGTGCTGGTGAGGAGGACAATCCATCACTCTCATAAAAACCTTCCTTATTTACCAACTTTATGGCAATTTTTTACAAGTGAACCTCAGAAGCTAAAACTCTTTTTCTCTATTGTTTGAGGTAAGAAAAAGGAAAAGTCCTCACTTCATCAACAAATGAAGTCTCTGTAATAGGTGAACTAACGATCTTTGTTAAATCTATATATCTCTATACATCATAAGAAGGCAGGAAGCTCCTTAGAGTTTCTTGATCAGTTGGTGGAAGGATTTCATGGATTCTTCACTGTCTGTCTTTGTTTATTGTCTCACTGTGGTGAGTGATGACTGGGTGACTTGAAGCATGCGCTGACTCAGTTACCACCACCGGTGTGTGAGTGTGCCTGCTGTCTCTGACATATCAGTGGGAAGGCACTTTTTTGACCCTCAGTGCTGTGGAGCATTCGCCACATTTTCAGTGATATATCATGGAGACAGGACATCGGTAGAGAGTTGGGTTTAATGCATTGATAAGAATTGGTTTGTGGTTACTGGGGAAGACACCCAAAACAGTCTATCCTCTGAGGGAATTGACTGATGGTTGTCCCTTTTTCAGGCACTGCAGTGCAGATAAAGGGGCCAAGCTGAAGAGCATCGGACCTGTGATGGGTAAGTGCCTCTTCAAATATCATGAACATGTGTAAAACTGTTCCTGTGTCTCTATAATCCTCATTACAGTTTTCCCACCTTCTCATACAAGCCCCTGTGTTGACTAATTAGCTTTTTGTAGAGGCCACAGTGTTGCTCTATGAATGCCTCTATGTTTACTGTTAGTAACAGCCACCACCCCCTTTTATTGGTGTGTGTTCCTCTTCCTCTCCTTCAGTGAGAGTGAATTTACAAAGTTAGAGAGATTTAAAAAAAAGCTTTGGCTGCACTCAGAGGCAAGTAAAAATGATACTGATCAGACTTTTTTTGGTAGCATTTATTTTTTCTGCTCCCATGGTTCTAATCATTCCCTATGATGCAGCTGTTGGTCTACATGAACATGTAGTTAGTAGAAACTTTGCTTCAACCTGCCTCCAATCCTGATACTAAGATTGGCTGAACAGAGGTCAAGATTGCTCACTAAAATGTTTTTTAGATGATCATTTTATTCATAGACAAACTAATGTGCTTTGAGCTATTGATAAAAGTTGTCTTTGATTAAAGTTGAATAATAGAACTGTGGAAGGAGCACCTTAAATATTGGGCCAGAAAGAACATTACATCTTTTCTTAAATGGAAGATAAATATGTCACTTTGATTGATGGCTTAAGATGATTTTCAGGAGACAGAGTATGTTTACTGATTACTATTTCTTATTTCTTAACCACTTTATCAAATTTACTGTGGGAATTTGGAAGAAGTGATTCATTCTGATGTTTTGTATGTAACATTTGGTTTGTTTGTGCAGTCATAAATCTATACAAAGGAAATGTAAACAGTTTCTGGCATCACGCTGATAAAGGTGAGGTTAGCAAAATCCAGCTCCGAGCTTAATAAATAGTAAGGATTGCAATTACAATTTGGACATAGAAAATGCATTAATTCTTGGGGTGAGAGTCCTTACAAATACAGTGAAACTAAACGTGTGTTTGCGTGCTTGTACCAGTGCGTCATTCATATCAGTTTTGTGTAGTATTTTGTAACCTGGCCCGCTGCAGCCGCTGCTTCAGTTAACATCTAAAAAGTTGATCGAGAGTACCTTTGACCTTTATGTTATAGAACAGCTTTGTAATAATGTTTAATGTGCTGGAATTTTAAAGATCTGTCAAAAATAAAGACTCTGCCAAAGCCGTCTTGATTATATCCCTTGGGATCTGATCCGCCCCCACCCCTTCTCTCCTGCAGTATAACTGGCCCTGCTTTCAAAGGAATAAAACTCAAACCATTGTACAAATCTCTCCTGTAGGGAAGTTTTCTGGGAACACTCCTGGCATTTTATAGGGGATACGTTTGGCTTTGAGATGTCTTAAGATTTCTGGAAGTGTTTCAGCTGGGCTACAGTCTACTGCGTTAGTTCCATGAGTGATTGTGTGTGTATATGAACACACAGCCCATACATATATCCAGGTTTCACGAGTTCATAATGAGACAAGGGTTGATCACACCATCTTAAAAACATGTTGCTCAGTAAGCCCTGAAGTGTCATGAGTATGTTTAACCTGCATTTTACAAATGTAATGCATTTGTTGACATTAACCCGATTCAGGACTTTAATGTTGCCATACGTAGAAGTTCTGTCGGGGTCCATTGGACCACAAGAAAGAATATGTGCAAAATATTTGTTGGTATTCATTATAGACTTTTATACTATGTTGAATACATTTTCTGATAAGTTGACATATTTTTGATTCCAAATGCATGACAAATGTCCCTCTTTTTATATAAAAAAATTAATCTTCTAAACAAAAAAATACCTGTCACCTAAACCAAATGGCCTGGGGTCCAAAAGACCCCAAAAGTCCTGAATAGGGTTAAACACTGTTTGCAAGACAAACCTGTTCTCTGTTTCTGCCTTTCTAAAAATACACCTATTCTTTCAGACATTTAGAGCAAATTGTTGAGCTCAAATAATAAGCCAAAGTCAAAATCATGGAAACGTCTATATCTGCAATTCAAGACATCTATTCCATTTTAAGACAGAAAGAGGTTATTTTTGTGGAAATTGTGTCTGAATTTGTGGGGGATTGAATCTGTGACATAAGATAAGATAAGATAAGATAAGATAAGATAAGATAAGATAAGATAAGATAAGATAAGCCTTTATTTATCTCACATTGGAGAAATTCACAGTGTTGTCAGCAGCAGTACACACAGACATACACACATACTAGAAGAACAATGTACACACAAGTATAAAAATAACATATAAAAAGAGAATAGTGTAAACATAGAATATAAATATGAGGACATATATATATAGAAGATATAGAAGATAAGGAATAAAGATATAACAGTAATAATGTAGACCTAGAGAAATTTTGATGATAATGGTAATGTCACAATATGCTGACACTAAAACTTGAACAAAATAGACATTATCACCTCAAAGCATCAGTTGAAGATGACGTCAGTTAAATGTGATCCGTGGCACAGCCGGTCACCTGTCCATTGTTTTCGTATATGTATGAAAAATAAAAAAAAGTGAAGTTAGTGAAATAAGATGAGCCTTATGGGTTTTCCTATTGGGTCATACCATCTCAAATCATCACATTTTTTGAACAATTCCTTGCCTCACCGTCTCTGATTTGCCCATAACTGATTATTTATAAAGAAATTTGAGACATTCTACCCTCACATATCAAAAATTAAAGAATACCTGTTGACCCACTTGAAGCACATTTCACTGACACATTGAAATTTGAGGCTGTTTGGATGACAATATCTCAGATACCATTAAAGTAAAATTCTGTTTTTTTCAATGTTCTTTCACATTGTGCCTTTGATTCAGAATGTGCAATATTAGACAAATAGATCACATCTTCCCTGATCATGGGTGAGTTATTTTAGAGTTGTTAGAAGCAGCTCTAGAAAGTCAAATGTTGTGAACTGTGAGGCAGCTGCTCATTCAGAATGTCCCAGCTAGAAGCAGCAGGCAGTGAGGGGGCAGGATTATGCAACGTTTGAGCTGGATGACTGGTGGTTAGTTGGGTCTTAGGCAGCACCTGAGTTTAAGGCTCCAATTGGCTTGACATCCTGGGAGGCCATAGAGTTGTAGGGAGGCTTGAAGAATGGCAGAGGTGAACATCTTCATATCTTAACAGCTTTTACTGCACCTCCAAGTTTATAACAACCACAAAATGCAGTTACATGAGATTTTCACAATATGGGACCTTTATAGGAGAACAATGAAAAGCATTTTACTGTATCACTTTCTGAATGCATAATTTCCACGGTGACTGTGTAGGGACATTGGACAATGCACACAGGAGAAAAAATGTTTCCAGATAAGGGAAACAGTTTGAGTCAGCAAGCTGCTATTCACAGCAGTGTAATCAATCTGTTTTGGGGATGGTGGTGCATTGGTTAGTACAGCAGATCTCACAGCAAGACGGTTCTTGGTTTAAACCTGCCAAACACGCATGTTGGCAAAGTTAATAATTCTTACTTTTGATAGGGATGAATGTGAGGGTGCATGGTTGTCTCACTCTGTTAGCCCTGTGATTGAAAAGACAAAGTGTCCAAGGTGTATCCCACGTCTTGCCCAATGTTACCTGCAGTAGGCTTCAGCAGCCTTCCACCTCAGCTGTGACCCTTTAAAAACATGAGTGGCTGTAGCTAAGGGATTGATTTACAGACTTCGAACTTGTCTCCTAAGAATTACATTTCAGTGCAACTAAATTGCAACAGCAAATACATTTGGAAGAAAACATAGTTGCAACCTGACTGCCTTTTCCGATGAGGAAATATTACTTAATGTATTTTCAAAGTTGCAAGTATGTATATACAAAGCATACTGGTAATGTTCTACTTACAGAATTTTACCAAAAATAAAATGTGTACTTGCAGAGATTACAGCAATATTCATCTTATTTCTCACATTTAGACCCTGGCAGCTCTCAGTTAAGGTCAGGGAAAGAGCATGATCTGGTTCAATACAAAATCATGCATTTATTTAAAGCCAAAATCTTTTCCTAACCTTAATCAAAGTGCTTTTGTTATATAAACCACAGGCCTGAGCCTGGATGTAAAGCCAAGTTTTTTGTGTAAAAATGAAGAGCTTTATCTGTGCACCACTCATCCTACCCACCTCACATGGACTCAATTTGTAAATGTATGTAAAAAAAGGTAGATCTGAACATAGTCCAGCCACTGGGAAGGCAATTTAGATGTTCAGAAACAATTTCAGGGCACAGGATTGGCTCAAAGTAACTCATGAACAACATCAGTGCAGGTTCTGCCCCACAATTACTTACAATCAAGGCATACAAATGTTGAAACCTTTTACATCTATATATCTATATCTATATCTATATCTATATCTATATATATCTATATCTATATATATATATCAAAAACATTTGGAAGTGGAAGTACAAACAAGAACCAAACAGCAAATCCTTACAAAGTGACATAGGAAGCCCCAAGTTACAGGTGAAGTTTCTGTATTAGAAAGGGCTATTAATAACGATAGCCTAATGTTTTATTTGATCCATGTGCCTCCTTTTTTTCTGTCCATGCAGATTTTTCATGTGATGAAACAGACAAAGGCCCACCAGTACAGATGCACAGCCTCAGAGAGTTTGAACAGGTAAGGATTTGTGCTCTCGTGCAAGCTGTGTTGTCACTTTAATATCTGGCTGGGGTCAGATCATGCATGCTGTATGGTGAGAGTTTGATGCTGCAATTGTGATAAAAAGAAGAGCTGGCAAAATGAGGCATCAACAAAAACTGATCTGCTAGTGTCATTATCTTCTGGGTGTCAGAGGTGTCTAGGCTTACCTCTGCTCATTGTCAATGCCTGTGAAGGTGTGTTTTGAGATTCTGAATGAGTCAAAGAGTTCCTTCTTTCCCTGCTGGTTCTCCACAGTCCCTGTCACTATACTTCTAATACATACTGTTTGCCCAATATTTACACAGAAATATTAAGGATGCAATTTCATTTTTCTTTGTTCGTTTGTTTTCTTTGCCCTGGTCCTTATCAAGATCTGGATAAAAATCTTGTATTACTTATTATCACTGATGTCCTGTATTTCCTGCATAATACAGCTGTGAAGAGAACATTTGGATGTCTAACTTTAAGTAAAAATATGTATTTTGACGCTGAAAAGCTCTGAATTAGGAACGATCTGCATTACAGCAGCCCATGATAGTGGTGATTGAAACCCATCTGACAGTTCTGGTGTCCAGGTCTTTTGCTCCACAAACTCTTTTGGTGGAGAAAAAGTTGAATAAAAATGACAATAATGTAATAAAACGAAACATTAGGATTCCAGCGGTGAAGCTGTTTTGACTTCCAAAAACTAGATATGTAAGTACATTTTTTAAAGTCTGCGTATGGACCCCACTGAAACATTTTTTACAAACTTGTATCGAAGCTTCATGGATGCACACAGTTCAAAGTAGCCAAGATCTGTCTGGCAACCTGAGTTGAGCTGGATCCAAATTATGTTTCATCTAATGAGGTCTTAAAGGGTGCTATTGCATTACTGCAGTTTTGTGTGTCAATAAATTGGTTTCAAGCAAACTTTGTATTAGCTCTTACCACATCGTGCACTAGGGCTGGGCCATATCATACCGTGCACGGTAATACCAGTGTAATGTTAGGGGATGATATAAAATTGAAATATCGCGCTAAAATTTGAGTGAAACGCGCATGCGCAGTGCTGTTGTTTTCATCCGCTCTAATGCACATGGAGTGAGAAGCATGGCGGCGACCGAGAAGGAGGGCAAATTTAGTGTATCGACCGACACAGTAGGACTGTGGTCGTGTCCGGATAGCAATTTTGAGATCCGAATATTCGCCCGCCACCCGCCACTACCCACCCCGCCACCATCGCCACCACCCGATGGTGGAAACAGAACTGTGACTGCTATCCTAAACTGGCATTAGCAGTTAAGTACTGCCTGTGCGTCCCACCCACTTCCACCCTGTTGGTCTGAATATTTACCCGCCGCTATATATTGTCAGATTTATCTCTTAATAACTTTACTTTCCCAAAATTTGTCACTACCAAAACATTGACTTCCAGTCAGAATAAAAATAATTGTTTTAACTTTGCATATTTTGTTTCACCTACCCCTGTACAGAGTATTTTTCTGAAATGAATTTATTAGGTTTTCACAGCGTAACACATTTAAATCAATATTTTTTTCATTTTTGCTGAATTTTTGGATTCATTAAAATCTGCATGTCATTTTTCTTTGTAAAAGTTGGAAATTTGATTATATTGCTTTCAGAATTCTTCATAGTTGAACTTAGACATACACCTAGACCAGGGTTCGGCAACCCGCAGCTCTGGAGCCGCATACAGCTCTTTTATCCCTCTGCTGCGGCTCCTTGTGGCTTTGGGAAAAAAAAAAAAAGAGTATATTAATTTCAACGTATTAGCTCGTTAGTTTTTAAAATGTAATTCTTAATTTGAAGATTTTTGTGAACTTGTAACATTAAAATAAAACGTTTTTAATTTTTTTGTTGCTCAAAATATGCGTCACAACCGCCGACGTGCGACACCCGCCGGCACACGCAGTGGTGCCACCTTGATGACGTTCTCGCTAAATCTGGCGACTTTCCAAATCCTCTTGGCAATTTTTTATTTATTTTTTGGTCAAAAATGACTAGCGATAAGGCTAGCGACTCTTTCTGGTGTTACTGGAGACTTTTCTGGTGTTTTGGAGACTCTGACATGAAAACACGCATCGTTCTGCAGTTACCGTCCCCAACGAGCAGCGGTGCTGCCGTGAGCTCCTCCCGTCCCAAAGCGCTCACAGGCAGTCTGGAGTCTGGTCAGCAGTCCCAGCTGCAGTCAGCAGGACAACCAGACGGCAGTTTTATTTTACTGCAGGTGGATAATTTAAGATCGGCTTTTGATTTCATAAATACAAGGAGGATTTAAATAGATATTTAGTATTTTTTTTAAGGTAACCTTCAACCCAGCATCTTTTTTTTTTTTTTTTTGGAGTTCAAAATGTTTTTGTTGCAGAAATAAAATTTGGTTTTCTCTGTAGCAGTTCATTGATTTCATAAATGCAACACACTATAGTTTTTTAAAAAAAATATACATAGCATAAAGGTAAAAACGATGCAGTGTTATCTTAATTTTAGATGTCAAAAGGGTTTTGCGGCTCCCGGTGTTTTCTTTTCCATGGGAAACGGGTCCAAATGGCTCTTTGAGTGTTTAAGGTTGCCGACCCCTGATCTAGACAATCATTATCATAAAATGTTGGTTGATAGCAAAAGATTTTTCCTCAATCCATCCATCTATTCAATTCAATTCAATTCAGTTCAATTCATTTCAATTTTATTTGTATAGCACATATTTACAACAAGTCATCTCATAGTGCTGAACAAAGGCAGAAACACCCAACAATCGAAAACATTTGGATTCCCTATAAGCTTCAGCAGTCCACTGGTTCTATCCATTATCTATACACCGCTTAATCCTCACTCGGGTAGCAGGGGGCTGGAGCCTATCTCAGCTGACTTATGGCGAAGGCAGGGGACACCCTGGACAGGTCACCAGTCTATCTCAGGGCTAAACTTAGAGACAGACAACCAAGCACACTCACATTCACACCTACGGACAATTTAGAATCACCAATTAACCTCAACATGTTTTTGGTTGGGCTACAAGGTGGAGTGGTGGTTAGCATCATTGCCTCACAGCTAACTCTCCAGATCCACAGAACACATGTGGACTGGCTGGTCGAACTCCCCCCTCCCCCACACACAGCAGCTCCACAGGGTTCAAGAGCTGGTTCACTGTTCCACTAGCATTGATCATTGATCTTCCTGAATCCGAGGTTCGATAATCGGTCAGAGCCTCCTTTCCTCCTTTCCTCCTTTCCAGCACCCTAGAGTAAACTGTCCCCCAGGAGGCTGAAAAATGTGATACCCTGGTAGTTGGCACACACTCTCTGGTGTCCCTTTTTGAAAATGGGAGCAACCACCCGGGTCTGCCATTCCCCAGGCACCATACCCAATGCACATGCGACGCTGAAGACAGCCATGACAGTCCAACAATGTTCAGAGCCTTCAGCATCTCAGGTCGAATCTCATCCACACCTGGTGCTTTGCTGCCAAGGAGCTTCTCAACTACCTACTACTACCACGGATATGGACGCAGAAACCCCCGAGTCTTCAGGCCACGCCCCTTCGGTAGAGGACGTGTTTTTCACCAGCCAACTAGGTCCCCAGTCTGGGTTCGCAGTTCTCCTCCCCGGCTGTAAACAGACTAGACAAATCCCTGCCTCCTCTTTCTGAGGCGTCAAATGCTTTGCCAGAACATCCTCGAGGCCGACCGAAAGTCCTTCCCCATAGCCTCCCTGAACTCCTCCTACACCCGAGTTTTAGCTTCCACAGCTGCCGCAGCTGCAGCCCTTTTGGCCAGCCGGTACCTGTCTGCTGCTTCAGGAGACGCCCGAGCCAACCAGATCTAAAACGTCTCCTTCTTCAGCCTGACGGCTTCTCTCACCGCTAGGGTCCACCAGCGGGTTTTGAGGTTGCCACCATGGCAGGCACCAGTGACCTTCTGGCCACAGCTCCTAATGGCCACTGCAATGGAGGCTTTAAACATGCCCACTCTGACTCCATGTCACCAACCTCCCCAGGGATGCATGAGAAACTCTTCCGGAGGTGGGAATTGAAAACCGCACAGCCACCCCAGGGGCCTCCGCCAGACGTTCCCAGTTCACCCTCACTACGTAACTGGGTTGAGCAGTCCTGCCCGGCAGCCTTCCCACCAGGTGGTGATCAATTGACAGCTCTGCTCCTCTCTTCACCCGAGTGTCCAAAACATACAGCTGCATGTCTGATGATGTGACTACGAAGTCGATCATGGACCTTTGGCCTAAGGTACTCTGGTACCAAGTACACTTATAAGCAACCTTATGTTTGAACGTGGTGCACAGAAGTCTAATAACAAAACATTGCTTGAGTTCAGATTGAGCAGGCCAATCACACCCCTCCAGGTTTCACCATCATTGCCCACATGAGCATTGAAGTCCCTCAGGAGAACTATGGAGTCTCCAAGAGGGCCGGATAGTCTGAACCGCCGTTTGGTGCGTAAGCACAAACGACAGTCAGAGTTTTCCCCTCTGCTACACGCAGTTGCAGAGAGGCGACCCTCTCGTTCTTCTGGGAGAACTCCAACAAGGTGGCGCTAGGGCTGCACAATTAATCAAATTTTAATCACAATCACGATATTGGCTTCACACCAGACGCAAGTAAAATCATTCGCGCGAATGATTTACATGTAAAGTCAATGTGAAGACGCGATTAGACGCGAGTAAATGTCCTGTGGCGCGATTGACGCAAATTGAGAGAGTTATTCGCGCGTATGACGCGATTCTACACGCACGTTTGAAGAGAAAGTTGAAAAATCTGAACTTCTGTGATCTGACGCACCACGACGGACAATCAGCGTTGAGATTCTCTGGTGACATCAACAACATGATTCATTCAGTTTTTTACAACTACACCATGATTGCTGATTGACTTACTCAACCCAGGAAATAAGTAGCTACTTTACTGGCCAAGGTAGATCTCAGTGCTCAGCAGACTGGCTGGAGAAGGTGGGGGAATTTCCTGAG